ACCTCATGCGTGGCATGGTCTCGAAGGCGGAAGATGCTACAGGGTCACAACATACGCAGCAGCCAACGCAGCTTATGAGATTTCTCAAAATAGGTAGTTAAGTTGCCAGTTGATTTTATCGAAGTTTGCCACAAATGCTGGCTAGTTAAGCAAAAAGTGAACCACTAAATATAAAGAGGTTTTCTCTTCTTTATTATCCGATCAAATCAATGGATTTTGAGGTCAATGTTGATTTTATCCCTGCTTTATCCAGCTGACGACCCCATACCATCGAATTTGCCTGCGAGCTCTCTGTGTGGTTGACGTATTGTTCTACGGATTTCCAAACTCGTGGGTGAGGATATTTCATGTAAGTTCGTGATTTTATTACCGCAAGGCAGCTTCTCATTTGATCTTGGTTTGCAACTATTTATTTGAAAATTTTGGGTTGAGGTTAGGATTAGGAATAAGTTTAAAGGTTAGGCTTTGATGGTGGTGTTAGGGATTATGGTTTAGCATTAGGACTTGGATTTATGAAATAGTTATATGATTAGGATTAAGACTTAGCGATTTTTCAATTGGCTCCTACTTTCATTGCCTACCAGTCTCTAGCAGGCATGTTTGGCTTCCACGTTTCAAGCTGGTTCACATTCTACCTGCGCACCGCCCTTTGTTTTGCGCGCCATCTTCCTTTGGCCGCTTTGAAATATTTAAACATGTTTATGGGATGTTCTACTGTTTTCAATCTTTGAGTCTTCGTTATACCGGCGCTTTTTGCTCCGTCCGTAAATACCCTTCTTACCACCAGCTCCCTCTTGCTGTTGTTTTCTCTGGCCTCTTCTGAAGGATGCGGGTTGCCGTTTACTCTGATTACGGCACAACAACGCTAAGTGTCAAACAACTGCTGCATTGTCTTGGCAGTCTGCTCCCCTCATGGACTGTTTTCCCAGTCAAGAGCGATTTTGTCATCAAAAACCAGTTTTCTGACTGTGATCTCTTCTGCGTGGGTGGCGGATTCAGTCGCGGAGTTGTCAAGTCGATGACAGATGTCGGACTGACCAACCTACAGAACTACGTACGGTCCGGTGGAAAGTACCTGGGTATTTGTTCCGGAGCCTACCTGGCCTCCCGTCTGACCAAGTTTGCTGTAGGAAGTCCACTGGAGGTAATCGATGCGGGATATCTGAACTTCTTCGAGGGTAACGCGTCTGTCTGCTCTCATTTCTCTGCACGTAGGTACTGCTAGAGGTCCTCTTTACAAGGACTATGTGTATGATTCGGAGGAGGGAAGCTCT